CTGGTCTACAAGAGCTAGTTCCAGGACAGCCTCCAAAGCCACAGAGAAACCGTGTCTCAGGAAAACCAAAAAAAAAAAAAAAAAAAATACTCCAGGACCTAGAAAGTTAGCTAATTTACTCACAGTCCTGAAGAACTAAGAACAAATTGAATCTTAAAGTATACTTAAGAGCTAGAAATGTGCAGCTCAATTGGTAGAGTGCCTATCTAGCATGCCAAGTGTCCTGGGTTTGATCCCTAGCACCATATAAACAGGGCATGATGGTATACACCTGTAAATCCAGCACTTAGGAGGTGAACAGGAAGACCAGAAATTCAAGGATAAGGTCATCCTTAGTCATATAGTGAGTTCAAAGTCATCCCGAGTTTTATGAATCATATTCTGCCTTCTCCCCATTTTCATGTGTGTATACATATATGTATATATCTTTATATATATTTATTAGTTTATAGATTTGTTATATTTCATCTATATATATGTATATAAATACACACATAAAATTTAAGAGACTTGCATGGAGATTTGTCATGTGGTTCAGTGGTACAGCACTTGCTTGGTACAGCACCACCATTCACTTGCTGAACAGACTAATCTAGTAGTATTTTATTTTCCTAACAAGAGTCCTTTCTCATCAAACAAAATTATACACCTTATACATACAACCCTAATACTGAGCTCCTCTGCTGCTGCCTTCCCTTGTCCTTCCTAGGCCCCCAATATAGCTCTGAAATTTTAGAAGTTTTAAAATATTTTAGAAAAATCACTAGTTTAGGTAACTAGTATGGCTTTGTCTGGCTGTCATTTTAGGATTATTGTAATTCTCACTTACTGTGGTTAATTGACAACTGAAGCTAAAAGTTTTGACTTAAAACTTGATGTTTTGAATTTCATGAAGTCAGCATGCTTGATGTCTTAAATGGCTATCACTTGCTAGCTACTAACTATGTAGTAAGGACTTTACATGTAATATTGAATCTCAAAACAATCTTTGGGGTAATTAGGACTCCCATTTTATCAGTGAAGTAACTGAACCTCAGAAGGGCTAAGTAACTTGCATATAATCAGCAAGTAGTAGAGCCAGGACAAGTGGGAAAATCTACAACTGAAGTCCATGCTTTATTTAACAAACCTTATGACAACACCTGATAGTGAGGTCGTAAGTGTTTTAGAAAATGCATCATTTCCTCACCACAATCTTCTAAAAATATACTCTTGTTATATCTGTGTAACAAATAAGGAAACCAAGGAACAAATAACTTACATGTTTTTGTTTTTTACCATATCCCTTGATATAACTGCAATTATTTAAAAATTAGTCTAGCAAACATGGGTAGGGGTCTAAATATTTTAACCTAACACTCAAAAAATAAGAATTATGTAATATTTTAGATGAATTATATTATCTTTTATAAACTTAGAAATATTCAGAATTTTAAAAATAAATACCCTGGCAGGGTATGGTAGCACACACCTTTCCCAGGCACTCAGGAGGCAAAGACTGGCAGATCTGTTAGTTTGAGAACAGTCAGGACTACACAGAGAGACCCTGCCTCAAAAAACTGACTGACTCAATAAGTAAATAGCAACTAAAAAAGTTTCTTCATTTTTATTATCTGCTTGAATTAATTTACTTTGTCAATTATGATGTTAAAGATCCAAGCAATAACTCTACTGAAATGCTGCTGTAGATATTTTAAACTTGTAACTTGAGTGTTTTTATTGTTTGTTTCTTGAGACAGTTTCTTTGTGTAGCCTTGACTGTCCTGGAACTTGCTCTGTAGACCAGGCTGGCCTCCAACTCACAAAGATCCACCTGCCTCTGCCTCCGGAGTGCTGGGATTAAAGGTGTGTGCCACCACCACCCAGCTCCACAACTGTCTTTTTCCCCTTTTGTTTTTTTTAATGTCAGATTTAGAAAAAGTTGTTTGTGAAGTACAATTTCTGTACTTTACTCAATTTTAAAATTTTATTAAATTGACAAAGTAACCATTTTGCTATAGGTTATGGCCATTGCACCAACCCATTACATCTGGCAACGAGAGCGCTCTGTGCATCACAGTGGAGCTGTTAGGAACTACAACAGAGATGAAGTTCATCTGCCCCGGGGTCCTAGTGCCACACCAGTAGATTGTTTACTGTGTGGTAAAAAAGGAAGATATGTGAGACTGGGACTGTCTTCATCATCATCTTCATCCAGTGACACAGTAGAGCTAATGGAAAAAAATTCTCAGGAATTTCACAATTCATTATCAATGGACATGATAGGTGAACCTTCTCAAGCTAATAGCTATTCACAAGGTATGATTTAACGGTAAAGTAGAATTAAACTAGTGCATAATTATCTATTCACACCTTTTAGGCAGGGATACATACGTTTCATAACTAAGTTAAATTAGTATTGAAAGTTTTCCCTCTTCGAGTTACCACTTTTTATTCTTTGTCTATAACTGTTTTGTGGTACCTTATAAACACTAAAAGTATTTTAAGATATCTTAAGCTGAAACTCAATACACTGTGAGCTCCAAGTAATAGGGCTTGAAGGGTTTCAATGAAATGTATGTTTTATTTAAAATGATTTCAAGAAGAAAATAAATTTACTTGTAATCACCATCCAACTATTGGTTTCTTCTATATACTTTTCTATTTCTAACAAAATTAGACCATATATTAGCCAGACTAGCTTTTTATTGTTTAATATAAATCATTTTCCCATGTCATCTAGTCTTATTGTGATATGCTATATCATAATTTATTTGCATATTTCAATTTTGTTGAGATATAAATGTTTACTTAGGACAATGATATGTTAACTAGAAAATAATTATATTGCCCAGAAATACAACTATATCATAACTATCAAATTATCTTTATATATTGCATTTCTCTGACATTTCTTTTCTAGATTTGAAACAGTACTAGAATAATACTCTGTAACAGAATACTGTTTACTTCTTACATATTTCTCTCACTTGAAAGATTTCTTGTAGTTCCTTTTAAATATCATGAAAAAAAACAAAAGGAAAACAGACACAATTTCAGAATTTTACTGATTTATTTTTACCATATTCCTATGAGGACAATAACTACTGATGCTTTACTAGAAAGGAAACTAAACTCTAGTCCTTTGAAAGTAGATAGAGGTTGAACCTTAGTTCCTGTTCCTTTCTTTGGACACAGTATTTACTTAACAAATTTTAGTGACAGTAGTTTCTTGCTTTTCAACATCTCTGAGTACACTCTTTGTGGTCATACTCATATTTGACAGTAAGTAGGGCTGATCATTAGCTCAACTATAAAGAATTGTCATTTATTATCTCTCTCCTATTTCCCAGGCTTCTTTTACTTTTACATTTTTTGATCCTCAGAATAGGTAAGGCTCATAGGATACTTGCAAGTCCCAGGCAATACAGAAAACCCCTTGCCTTCATAATGCACTTAATCTTCAATACCACTGAAGGTTAAGTATTGTTTTCTCCACTTGGCAAATAAGGAAACCAAGGCTTCTGTTAATTTGCCCAAGGATGATAGAGTAATATTTGAAAATCACAGTCTTGTGACTGGAACCTGAATTCCTATCTAGTATGCTCTATGGGCCGTTAATGAACTCCTGCTTTTAGCAGTGAAAATAAGCTGTAGCAGAAGCATTTAAGATTGCTACAGCAGAGGTACAAAAACCTTCTGAAATGCTTGTGTAATGTGTTGGGAGCAAATTTTAATAATTTGAACAGATATCTAGAAAAAGCAGAAGAGAAACTGCCATGTTTTCTTTAGACCAGTCCCTGTAGATCTCATTGGAGTATACTCTGTACTCCAGGTCTTGACATTCCAATAGGAAACTGGAATGCATGCAAGAAGTAAGGCATTTTGCCAGTCACTGTACTGAAAAGGCTGGGGGCAGGGGATGTGTCAATGGGTAAAGCCTGCTAACTGATGATCTGAGTTCAGTTCTCAGAGAAAGGGAGAGAGAGGTAATCAATGTAATTTTTAAAAATTTAAAGCAAGTTGTCTTTGAGACATTATAGACAAAAATAGAGTAGGGAGTGGTAGAAGGGATTGTTCTTTCACCTTGTTTATTGATGAAATCCCAATATAGGAATTATAGGATCTTTTGTTTGGTTTTGTATTTTGTTTCTGAGACAGAGTTTCTCTGGGTAACTCTGCTGTCCTAAAACTATTTTTGTAGTCCAGGCTGGCCTTGAACTGAATGCTGGGATTAAAGGTGTACACCACAGAGCCAGGCGGTGGTGGTGCATGCTTCTAATCCCAGCACTTGGGAGGCAAAGGCAGGTGGATCTCTGTGAGTTCAAGGCCAGCCTGGTCTGCAAAGCCACACAGAGATACCCTGTCTTGAGAAAAACAAAAACCAAAAAAACCAAAAAAGGTGTGCACTACCAACCAACATTATGCTGTGAATCTTAACCTTAACCTTAAGGTTAACTCTAAAAGCCTTTGATAATGTCAGAGGGCAAGTGATATAAAGAAAAAATATTGCTGGGTATGGTGCATCCATATTTGTAATCCCAGTACTTAGGAGGTTGAGGTAGGAGGATTTCAAGTTGGAAGCCACTTTGGGCTACAGTGATTTCCCATTAAAGAGGGGAGGTGGCCAGTTGGTGATGGTGCATGCCTTTAATACCAGCATTTGGGAAGTAGAGGCAGGAGGATGTCTGTGAGTTCGAGGCCAGCCTAGTATACACATTGAGTTCCAGGACAGCTAGGGCTACACAGAGAAACCTTGTCTTGAAAAACAAGAAGAAAAGGGGAGATGGTTAAAAGTACCTCTCACTCTTCCAGAGAACCCCAGTTTGATACCCAGCATCCACATGGTGGCTCACAACTGTCTGTAATACCAATCCCATGGTACCTGATGTCCTTTTTTCTGGCCTTTACTGATACCTCACCTGTGATACACAGACATACATGTAGGAAGGCACCACACACATGTGGTACACAGACTTACATGAAGGCAAAACACCTATACACATAAAACTTAATAATAACAATAAAAAACCACTACCTCCAGGTGTTGGTGGCACACACCTTTTAATCCTAGCACTCTGGAGACGGAGGCAGGTGGATCTCTGAGTTTGAGGCCAGCCTGGTCTACAGAGCAAGTTCCAGGACAGGCTCCAAAGCAATACAGAGAAACCCTGTCTCAAAAACAAACAAAAACAAAACAAAACAAAAAAAAAAAAAAAACCCACCACCACCAACAAAGACTCCAATTAGATAGATGGATGAATAGAAGTCCGAACTCATTTTCTGGGATTAACAGAGTGAACTAACTAGGGATGAAATTAACAATACAGTGTAGAGGGAGTCAATAGCATTACCTCCAGTAGGGTCAGTCTCTTCTGCCTTAGCAGCTGCTCATGCCTTATAGTGTGGCCTCTGCTAACAAAACATTTCCCCTGCAGTGTACATAAGGTTGGAGTCACTTGATGGTTTATAGTCATGAAAAACTCATTCCAGGCCAGGCAGTGGTTGATACACACCTTTAACTTGGGAGGCAGAGCCAGGTGAATTTGAGTTTAAGGCCAACCTGATCTACAGAGTAAGTTCCAGTACAGCTAAGGATACACAGAGAAACTCTGTCTTGAAAACCAAAGAGAAACATACAAGGAGTTGATATGGCTCCAGGTTTTTATGCTACAACTTATTGTAGATAGTGACCAGTGCACCTTTCAAACAAAGCAACTTTCTTCCACCCATCCTAACTTGTTGCCTTCCCCCCTCTCTCTCACTCTCCTCTTTTATGGTTTCATTGTATATCACTGGGTGGCCCAAACTCACTACATATACCAGACTGGCCTCAAATTCACAGAGATCCACCTGCCTCTGGGTTGCCTCTAAAGTTGCTTGATTTTTAAATAACATGTACCAAAAAGCTAATTTAACACAGAAATGCTTGAGACATTTAAAAACAAAATGTCAATTTGATAAGGTAGAGGGAAACACTGTCAAAACACTTTCAAGGGGATAGGTGAGGCACTCTTTAAAAATTCAGACATATTATCACTACCAATATTATACTAGTCCTTTATACTAATCACGTTTAAAAATCCAATTCAAGAAACTTCAAAATGATTTTTTAAATGGTTTTCTAATATTCATTTCACTGCTAAAAAAAAACAAACTCAGAAAAGTCACACTATTACCAGCTAAAGCAACAGAAATAATGGGGTTTAGCTTTATCTAAATATGCAAATTTTAAATTTTATCCTATGTGTATAAGCGTTTTGCTTGCATGTATATCTCCTTATCATGTGAGTGCAATGCCCCTGGAAGCTGGAAGAACACATAAAATCCCCTAGGACTGGACTTACATGTATTTGTAAGCCACTGTGTAGGTGCTGGGAATTGAACCCAGATCCTCTGGAAGAGTGGCCTAGTGTTTGTAACCACTGAGCCATCTCTACAGCCCCCACTTTCCTGTTTTTGCTTGTTTTGTTTTGGGTGTTGGTGTTTGAACCTAGGGCCTTATATATGCTATACTCATGTTCTTCCATTAGGTTATGCCTCCAAACCCTGTGCAGCGTATTTTGTAGCAAACTATCACTGTTACTCTTTATGCTGCTTTAAGCCCCAAAGCATCTAGGCTAGTCCAAGTGGACATGAATTATCTGGAAACCTGGTTTTAAAATAAAAACAAAGGGAAAAATCCACTAAGCCTTATCTTTGGCTTTGACAGGTACAGAATATTCTCTATGTTAGATAACCTATAACCAAATAATTTTCTTAAAAAGAAGTTCACTTTTAAACTTCATTTTTTGTTATATTGTCATTCACTGTTCTGGACACAGTCACCTATGTTTAAAATCTTTGCACTTAACAAAGATATAACAAAGGCTAAAGAAGTCGGGCATTGGTGGCACATGCCTTTAAACCCAGCACTTGGGAGGCAGAGGCAGGCGGTTCTCTGTGAGTTCAAGACCAGCCTGGTCTACAAGAGCTAGTTCCAGGACAGCCTCCAAAGCCACAGAGAAACCCTGTCTCGAAAAACGGAAAACAAAACAAAAAAAATAAAGGCTAAAGATACGGCTCAGTGGATGAACATATGTTTGGCATGCACTGAACACTGGGTTCAAGCCCAGCACCAAAAAATAAACAGAGTAGGGCACATGGATTAATAATGCGATCGGGACTATGCTATATGACCAACATTTAGGAGCACAAGATATACAGAATTATAAACCCAGAACTCTGGAAGCTGAAGGAGAATCACTAGGTTCTAAGCCAGCCAAAGCTGCAGAGAATCATGTCTTCAAGGAATAAATAATAGACTACAGATTTCTCTCTGTAGAATGAGAAAGTTGGTAAACGATTTTCAAAAACAAGTAATGTATGAACAGGACATTGACTGAGTCCTGTTTTCCCAGGGACTGGCAAACATTAAGGACAGAGTGGAACAGCAGACAGTAATTTGAAAATACAGTTTATCTTACATGGAATCACTAGCTGATCTGGATCTTTTTTCACTATATATTTTTTATAACTGTCCCCTTCAATTCCTAATCATGTATATAATACTATAACTAAGTCAATAGATGAAACAATGCATGATCCAGTGTACATTTAAGCCACCATCAAACTTGCTGACCATTCCTGGATAGGAAAAGTAGGGGAAGGCCTCTAGAAAGCAACTGGAAGACAATTCTGAACAAGATCTCTTAAGATTTGAGCATGATACATGAGGGTCAGACAGACACAAGCTATCATGAAGCCACACATGGTGGCACACACCAAAAACCTCAGCACTTGTGATGTGGAGAGGATTAGGAGTTCAAGGTCATTACTGGATATATAGACAGTTTGAGGACAGTCTGAGCTACATGAGACCCTGTCTCAGAAAATGAAAAAGAAAGTAAAGAGAAAGTTAACATTAGTTAGCATTTGTCTTAGCATGCATATAATCCTAGTACTTGGATGCTGAGGCATGAAGATCATGAGTTGAAGGCTAGTCTGAGCTACACAGGGAGTAAGATCCTGACAGAGAGCTGGGGATAGCATCTGGCTCATAACTAGATTGCAAACATAATGAGAGAGGAAGGTTGGAGGAAGGCCTTAAACTGGGACTTGATGAACTATTTGAAAACAAATGCTAATTTGTTTATCATTCAATTCAAAATTAAGATGGATATACAATGATATATATTGTTCAATTCATTATCCATTGGATACAATATGCTAAGCAGAAACTAAGTAGACTTAGTTGGAGATGAAATAGGTTAAATGTTGTCATTTAAAAAAGCAGCACACTGATGCTGGGCTGTGGTGGCACACGCCTTTAATCCCAGCACTTGTGAGGCAGAGGCAGGTGGATCTCTGTAAGTTGGAGGCCAACCTGGTCTACAAAGCTACACAGAGAAACCTTGTCTCAGAAAAAAAAGAAGAAAAAGAAAAAAGATGTACCAGGTTCAAGGTCTTGGTGTCAATACCCAGCCAAAAGCAACATTACATCTTTATTGTAATTTTTAAGATTATATCATCCTCATCAGTTCTTCCCTACTATTTACTACAGCCCTATTTTCCTTTTATGTTTGTGTGGCTTTTTGGAGGTTGCATTCTACCTGTGGAGGTAATCTCATTGTTTTTGCTGCTGCACCAAGCACTTCAGCCTAGCTTACCAGCCTGCAAGTTCACAGGTGAATCTCCTGTCTCCACCTCCCATGTTGCTATAGAAGTGTTGGGATTACATATGTCCACCATTGCATTCAGCTTTTCTTTTTCTTTTTTTTTTTCTTTTTTTCCTGAGACAGGGTTTCTCTGTGTAACAGTCCTAGTTGTCCTGGAACTCGCTCTGCAAACCAGGCTGGCCTGGAACTCAGAGATCCACCTGCCTTTGCCTCCCAAGTGCTGTTTGGCTCATTATTACTTTAAAGTTCCATATAAGCAATAAAAATATATACTAGGGCCTTTAACCCAGAACTTGGTAGGCAAAGGCAATTGAATCTCTGAGTTTGAGGCCAGCCTGGTCTACAGAGTGATTTCAGGACAGCCAGGGCTACACAGAGAATCCTTATCTTGAAAATCTAGAAAAAAGTAAATAAATAAAAATAATAAAATATGTGCTAGCTCAGGCAGTGGTGAATTCCTCTAAGTTCAGAACTTAGGAGGCTGAGGCAGAAATATCAGAAGTTCAAGGCTCGGCTGGGCTACATAATGAAATCCTATTTCAATCTTTTTGTTGTTATTCTATCGCCCCCCCCCTTTTTCTTTTGAGAAACAGTATTTTTTTAAAAATATTTATTATGTATACAGCGTTCTGCCCAGGCTAGAAGAGGGCACCAGGTTGTATTGCAGATGGTTGTGAGTCACCATGTGGTTGCTGGGAATTGAACTCAGGACCTCTGGAAGAGCAGCCAATGCTCTTAACCTCTGAGATATCTCTCCAGCCCCGAGATACAGCATCTTGTAGTTTGATCCTCCTGCCTCCTCCTCACAAATGATTAAAAGCATGATTACCACTCCCAGATTGAGACTCTGTCCCAAAATAAAAGTCTAAAAGTATTTTAAAATATATAAATTTTTGTCTTAAATACATACAATTTACCTTAAAATGCATATTTTATTTCAGTAGCCAATGACCATCAATCAAACAGAGAAAAGGAAACTAATTTTATGAAGAAAGACAAAGCTATGGAGTGGTTTACAGGAAGTGAAGAATGACATGACTCAACTAAAGCAACCTGGAATCATTAGCTACAAAATGTCAAACTAAATGCAAGACAATGTCAAAATGGGACAGTTACCCAGTTGTACAATGTTCTTTAGCTTTTGTTATTCTTCAAGCATATGTAAAAGTTATACAAATCATAGTAATAACTAAAAGTACCAATTTATGACAGTGATTGACAATATAAAGTTGTAATTTGATACTTCTTTGCCTTCAAATTGATTGCTGTCATCAGGGGTACTCAGTTCAGCTGTGGCTTGACCTTCCTCAACCTGACAAGAAAAACTAGTTTAAAAGAGAAAACAATTAAGGTCATAACAATGCATTAGTTAAAAGGAAGAAACATTTAATATGTTCTGAAAACATTACTAACATGGGTGACCAGTCTAGCACTATAGGGATATGGTCTGTACAGAAAACCAGAATGTGATTCTTCTGTAACAGAACAAAATGCATACTACACTGTATAAGTGTTTTATAATTTGTTCACAAAAAGTATTGAAATATTAAACACTGTTCTTTTCCTGTAAGCTCTTTTCTTTTTTTGCATATGTTTTAGAGCTATGTTGCTAGTCAGAATACAGAAACATTTGCCAGTGATCACATAGTAACCTTACAGATAAGCTTATACCCAAATGGATAAGCCTGTTTCATAAATCAATATATCTGGAACCCTTTCCACAGCCTAAATAATGTACACATACAAGGACCTAAACTTGCTTCCTGGAAGAACTCCAGAAGCACTTCAGGACTTACATTTTGTAATTAACAGAATAGAAAAACACTACATTGCAGTTGCTGTACCAAACAAAACAAAACAAACCCCAAAATCCCTGAAGAGTATCTGATAGTTATGTGAGTGTATGTATTATTGTGTAAATGTGCTGGTCAACATAAGAATCTACAATATTTACTATTAAAAACACAAGCATAAAATAAAACTGAAGCTCACCACAGTTCTCTTGAAACACTTCATTTCCAACTCCAATTTCCTTTTGAAAATGTAATTGTAAATCTGCGTTGATTTTGGTCTGACTTTTGGAGGCAGAATTCCACTTATCTGTTTTGTAAGGCACATGAGCCAATCTCACTTATCTGTTCACATGAGAGCAAGTTCACAGGTTCCAATCCCATCCAAAAGTTCCATAACCTGTGTGATGCTTTCAAAAAAGTGAAATAGTAGGGAAGAACTATTTCATTTTTTTTAAATTGTAGCTGAGGCTCAGCATTCCGTGTGTGGGGCTATACATATTTGTATATGTTCCTGGAGATTATACTCATTCAAGTGAAGGTCAGGGGTTGACACTGGGTATCTTCCTCTACTACCCTCCACCCATTTTTTAAGACAAGGTCTCTTCAATGAACCTAGAGCTCACGGCTTCTACTAGATTGGCTGGCCGTGGGCTCTCTGGAGATCATGTCTCCCCTGGCCCATGACCTCCTTTACTTACTCTAATCTTACCTGCTTTGGATAAAAATAAGCTCATTTCACCACAGCCTGAGTCTGTTTCCAAAACAGTGTCCCTGGGCTCATGTCCATCATCAGTAGATCATTTATAGCCTATGACAGAATACAGTGTGAATGGCTCATAAATACATATCAAGACCCATTCTTTTTTTTTTTTTTTTTTTTTTCCTAGACAAGATTTCTCTGTGTAGCTTTGGAGCCTATCCTGGCACTCGCTCTGGAGACCAGGCTGGCCTCTAACTCAAAGAGATCTGCCTGCCTCTCACGCCCGGCAAGACCCGTTCTTACCTTACACTACTGTCAGGGAAAGAATCAGAAAGGAATCAAAAGTAGATAGGACTCTGGCCCTGCCCAAGAACTAACATTTTGCTTGATAAAATAAAAATTAAAAAATCAATTAGTGTCTTAGGGTTTCTATTGCTATGAAGAGACACCATGACCATGGCACTCTTATAAAGGAAAAACATTTAATTGGGATGGCTTACATTTTCAGAGATTCAGTCCATTATCATCATGATACAACATGGTGGCATGCAGGCAGACATGGTGTTGGAGCAGGAGTTAAGAGTCCTACATTTTGACATGTAGGCAACAGGAAATTGTCTGAAACACTGGGCAGTATCCTAAGCATAGAAGACCTCAAAGCCTACCCCTGCAGTGACACACTTTGTTCAACAATGGCACATCTACTTCAACAAATCGATACCTCCTACTATTGCCACTCTCTTTGGAGGCTACTTTCTTTCAAACCACAATTAGCAAATACAGCAGCACTTCAGAAGCAACTAGAAATTACAGATAAAGGCCACTGGACTCAGAGGTAGCAGAAAGCAGCAGAACACCCTAGCTTAAAGTCAAGAGCAGAGAATTATTATTTTTTTATTTATTTATTTGCTTAAAGACAAGAATGGAGAGTTAAAGAAAATAATCAGGGTAGAGACAGGTAACCCTAGCTGTCCTCGAACTCCACCACCTTCCAGCAGCAGACAGTAGGACAGCTTTAAGCATAGTACAAGGAGGATAAGCACTTTAGGACAGAAGAGAGAGACTTAAAAGTCAGCCTGATGCATTGAGCTAGGCCTGGTAAGAAGTTAGGGCATGTCACTGAGGCTACAGAAAGGGCTTTTTATGAAGATTGGTAAGGCAAAGGAATACGTGAGGCCAGAAAATCAGTTATGAAGTTATTAGGCTCCTTTTTCTTGAAATGCTGAAAAATTTTTAATGTAAGCAAAAAAAGGAACTTTATCAAGAAATTGAAGCCGGTGTTTATGATGTTTAATCCCAGCACTTGGGAGACATCTCTGAGTTTGAGGTCTACAGAGCGAGGACAGCCAGAGCTACACAGAGAAACCCTGTCTTGGGGGGAAAAAAGAGAGAGAAATGATTAACTTTTAATTTATAATTATTAGCGTTTGGAACCTTGCTATGTAGACCAGGCTGGCTCAAACTCACAGCGATTTTCCTGTCTCTGCCTGCTAGGTGCTAAAGGCATGCACCACCATGCCAGGCTAGTAGAACTCCATCCTCTAGGTAGATAAGACCTTTGTAGTATTGAAATCAATATATCTGTCATTACCCAATGACACCTCAAAAAATATCCCAAGGATGGGCCTATTAACAATCAATCTTTGAAGTGGGGTAGGGGTGAGTTTCACCCACAAGAACCCAACTTGCCCACATCCCAACTACGGTTTCACGTGGTTATTAGGGGTGGCATTGCATGTAAGAGGTGAAAGGTTTCCTGGGGCTGGAACTCCACTGATGTGGCTTTAGAAAGTAGTCGCCATGCTTGGATGGGGCTTTTCCAGGAAGACCATCTTTGACACCTAATCCTAATAATCTTATTGGCTCACCAAACTAGGCTTGGCAGGAATTGTTTCTTTGGTCTGTTGGTGTCCCATGTGGGGTGAATAGCCATTTACGTGCATCTGTGCATCTCCCAAGAAAAAGCACGGAACAGAATGCAGGATTTTTGATGCATTCTAGGCAAGTCCTCTACAGCTGAGTTACATCCCTAACCCTAATATAAATATGTATGATAAAATATACTTCCAGAAACATACCTTACTAAGTATTATTAAAATACCGCCACAGGTCCTGCATAACCGTGGACATGCCTGATAATACACCCCAAATATTAAATATACATATATATTATATATATAATATATATATATATATATATTATATATATATATTATAACAATAGTACAACAAAATTTACCCCTAGTCAACATTCTCTTAAGTACTGAACTCACTTAAGAGCTGTGGGGGCCAAACGAGTACATCTCTGTTTAAGCTAACGAGCCCACATCACTCTAATACAAAACTGAATAAATCTTCATTTTAGAGAAAGGAGTGGAGACTATCAAATTTAAACTCAGTTTCTAAAATTATCAACACCTGAACATATTTTAAAAACGCAACATATTGAGAAACTCCAACATTTGGTGACATGATGAGAACACTCATCTGACAGACTTTTGCCCTTCCTGGAACCCACACCCACCCATCGCAATAGCTCTGGGCACGCTATCGGAAGCCCTGTTTTCATGAACCGCCCCCAAAGCCGGCCTCTGCAGCAGAAAACTCTTACCAGAGGAGCCGGTCACCATCAGGCCGGGGAGCTTGCCCACGATCTCGCTGAACGGGATTGCCTCCAGTTATTATTAAAGCGTCCGACGCTGCACTGATGAAATCATTTCTTAAATTGCGTTTGTCTTTTCCCGTCTGAGCTAAAATAAGCTCCCCGGCCGGGAAGGGTCCCTCTCTAGAAGGGGAGCAAGAAGAGGGATTTGGAACCAAAACAAAAATATAATCAGATGAAGCTCTCGGACAGGACAGCACGCGCTCCCCGCAGCCACAGCGCGACGGAGGGAGGGAGGGAGGGAGGAAGGGGTCGCAGCAGCTCTGCTCTCCACCCCAGCCCCTCCACAGCCTGAGGTTTTCCGCAGACTAGAGACGCCGAGTCCCGACGCTCCGGACACCCAGAGTGGGAGACGGGGACGACCCGCGCACGCCGTGCCGCGCATCTCCAGGATTCGCAGCACCGGAACCGAGCTCCCTCCTAAGACACTAACGCAGGGTCCAACAGGAATGAATCGACCGACTCCGAGCTTCGACCGACCCTGGAAACGCCCGCCGCAGCCTCAACAACGAAAAGCATCCGCGCAGGTGCTGTCGCACACGAGTGACGCAATCACAGCCCCCTGCCCGCCCGACGCCTCGTTTCGGGCCGCTTAGGCTGCGGACTCGCCAGCATTCACAGGCTTCGCAGGCCGAGTTGCGTCACTACTCCTGCGTCCAGCAGACCCGGTGGGCGGAGTCTGGGGCTCGTTGATCTGGGGGATGAGGGACGGTCGGGCAGCTCAAGTCCTCGTTTCTTCTCCAGTGTGGCGAGAGTACGGAGATTTCGGCTCAGCAACCTCCGCCAGCTGGCTCGGGGACAGGAGGACCAGGAAAGACGAAATGTAGAGATTGTGAAACCTGGAAAGTCTTCTACCAGGTTTAATTCGCGGGAACGTCACCTATCACCCCCAAGAGACGAAAGTAAACTAGCCCTGCGATTCGTTGGTCAGACGTCGCAGATCTCACTGCTTGGTGACCCGCACACCTTGCTGATAACTCGCAAGTCCTTTTCGAATGGGTAGGGACTGCCTGTCCGTCTTCAGCCCGAGAGCTAGAGTGTCCACAAATGCGGAGGAAGACAGTAGTGGTCAGCGGGGGTATAGCTCAGTGGTAGAGCATTTGACTGCAGATCAAGAGGTCCCTGGTTCAAATCCAGGTGCCCCCTTCTCTTTAGGACTTTTTGTTTTTTGTTTTTGAAACCAACTGAAGCCAGATATGGTGGCACGCCTTTAATCCCACCACTCAGGAGGCAGAGACAGATGGATCTTTTGAGTTCGAGGCCAGCCTGGTCTATGTAGCGAAGTGTAGGACTGCCAAAGACCAGAGCGACAAACTAAGTAAAAAGGGACCCCATTCGTTTATGTTCTTATACAACAGAATTCTTTAAAAAAAAAAAAAACACACAATTGTTTTAGCCGACCCTCCCCCAAACTAAATAGATGCTTCTTTTTTTTTATTTGAATTACAAACAAGATTGAATTACATGACAATCTCAGTTCTCTTCTCCCTCCCGTCCTCCCTTACCACCCCCCCAACTAAAAGCCTACCTATCACATATCCTTTCTTCTAATCTACACCTGACTCAACCTTTCTGCTCCCTCATGACCTCTGCATCCTTCCTCTTCTTCCCTTCTCATTCTCGTAGCTCCCTCCCCCTTCTTCCCATACTCTCAATTTGCTCAGGGGATTGTGACCCTTTCCCCTTCTCCAGGGCACAAAGTTTGTCTCTTTTAGGGTCCTCCTTGTTTACTAGTTTCTCTGGCAATGTGGATTGTAGGCTGGTAATCCCTTACTTTATGTCAAAAATCCACATATGAGTGAGTACTATCATGTTTGTCTTTCTGTGATTGGGTTACCTCGCTCAGAATGGTTTCTTCGAGTTCCATCCTAAATAGATGCTTCTTAAAACTGAAGTTAGTTTGCACCCAAAGTTAAATATCATTGGCCTGTCTGTTTAATCACTAGGCACATGTTTATTGAGATCAGGCAGAACCATGCTGGTATACTGAAAATTCAAGAGGAAGATTAAGTGGCTTCAGCAAGGTCTCTGACAAGATAGTTGAAAAATAGAATGTGAAATTTCCAACTACGTCAACCAAATTCAATAGCCTTTGTTGATTGTACCAGACACATTTTCTGAAGACTAACCAAGGACTGAGGCAATAGCTCAGTATGTAAAATGCTTGCTGTAAGAACAGGGGTCTCTGAGTTTGATTTCCAGAATCCACATTTAAAAGACAGGTGGGCATCGAGTTGGTTCAGTACATAAATGTGCCCACCCCAGAGACTGATGACTACATTTCAATCCCAGGAACCCATATGATGAAAGAACAGGCCGGGCAGTGCTGGCCCATGTCTTTAACCCCAGCACTGGAGAGGCAGAGACAGGCAGATCTTTGTGAGTTCCAGATCAGCTAGGTCTACAGAACTAGTTCCAGGACAGCCAGGGCTACATAGAGAAACCTTGTCTGAAACAGAGAGAGAGAGAGAGAGAGAGAGAGAGAGAGAGAGAGAGAGAGAGAGAGAGAGAGAGAGAGAGAGAGAAGAAAGAAATTAAGAGAGAAGGAAAGAAAGAAAAAGAGAGAACAGGTTTTTCCTGGGTTATCCTCTGATATATTGTAGCAAGTGTTCCTCTCCCCCAGATATTTTTCTTTAAAGCAGGGCATGATGGGTATGTAATTCTGATCAAGAGAAGCTGAGACAGGCAGATCCCCCCAGCACTCACTGGCCAGGCAGCCTAGCTCACCCGGCAAGTTCCAGGCCAGTGGACAGGAGATGTCTCAGGCACCAGACATGCACTTGGTACACAGACATATATGCAAGCATTCACCCATACACACAAAAATAAAAATAAAAAGTCTTTTAAATATGAAAAATAAACCCCATTCATAATCTGGGAGTGGGCCGGGCATTGGTTGCGCATGCCTTTAATCCTAGCACTCGGGAAGCTGAGGCAGGCGGATCTCTGTGAGTCCTATGTCAGCCTGGTCTCCAGAGCGAGTGCCAGGATAGGCTCCAAAGCTACACAGAGAAACCCTGTCTCGAAAAAACAAAACAAAACAAAACAAAACAAAAAAACAAAAAAAGAAAGGAAATAATAAATACATAATCTGGGAATGTAGCTGCTCAATAGTTGATTGCAGGCCTTGAGTTCAAGCCTCACCACCACTGGGGAAAGTTTTATTCATATTTCTTAAATTTACCTCATTTTGTGTCTCAAAACTGAAGATAGCATCCTTTAAATTTCTGTAATAATTTTCTTATGTTACTGTTTTTTTAAAAAAGATTAGCTAGATGATACTGGCCCATGCCTTTGATTCCAGCACTTGGAAGGCAGAGGAAGGCACATCTCTGAGTTCCAGGCCAATCTGGTTTACAGAGTAGTTTAAAGACAGCCGGGTGTACACAGATAAGCTCTGTCTTGAAAAACAAACAAACAAACAACAAAAACAAAGATAGAGAGACTGAGACTTATGTATATGAATATTTTGCCTTGTATGCCTCATGTGTTCCTGGTGTATTCAGAGGCCCGAAAATGGCATCAGATCCCCTGAAACTAGAATTACAGACAGTTGTGAGCCACCACCATATAGATGCTAGAACTGAACTGGGGTTCTCTATAAGAGCAGCAAGTGCTTCGAAACTCTGAGTCATCCCTCTATCTCTTGCTTACATTTCTTTTGTGTTTATCATATTCAGGTTTGAGGATAGAACCATCCAGTAAACATTGATGGGTTGCATAACTTCTAATTTTGTTATTTGTCCTTACAAGTAAAAATTTAAAAAGAAGAACCACATAAGACGCTCTATGAGAAGACACAGGGTCCTTTGAAATGTCTTCCATGAGTTTCCTCAGAGAGCACTTCCTTGATGTCCCTCCATTCCAGACTACTTTCTGTTCAACTTGGGCTTTTCCTCATCTCTGCAGGTAAGATTGTTTGGCTACAGCGTCCTCTCTCCTAGGCTTCAGTCTGCTTTTGAATTCCAAGACCAGACTCTATTGTATTACTGAGGTCCTGTCATGAGTCCTGAAGGAATGGATGAGGGAAAGTTACAAAACAGAGTCATAGTATTTCTTTCCTCTGGGTGACTTGCCTGCAAAATATGTTTACTTGTGATGCATCATGAAATAGGAAAACAAACCAATAGAGACAGAGAATAAGAGCTCTCCAAAGTCACTTTACTGGGTGTAACATTTCCTCTGCTCATAGATTAGAGGAGAGGATCCCAAAATTTATGCTCTCACATTCCTTAAATGGACAGATCTGTGTAAATATCATTAGCTTTTTAGAAAGTATTTCCTATTTTCTTTCTTCAAATTTCTGAAATCCATTATCATCCCAACTAGGAAGAGAAGTAGCTTTCACTTTACCTGTGCTGTAGGAGGATGTGGAGAACAGTGAGCTTCAGAAAGACTCAGATTCGATGTCATTTGTGGAGAGCATGCCATGTGCTGGGGACATTACTCTGCATGACTCTGTTCTTTGGACAAGTTCTAACAGCATAGGATCTGCATAGCTGGACTCAGGGATGTATAAGTCCCTTAAAGGCTGTCATGCAGCTTCTTTTTTGTTTTTGTTTTTTTGTTTGTTTTCGAGACAGGGTTTCTCTGTAGCTTTGGAGGCTGTCCTGGAACTAGCTTTTGTAGACCAGGCTGATCTTGAACTCACAGAGATCCTCCTGTCTCTGCCTCCCAAGTATCATGAAGCTTTTTATCTCAATCCTTATTTTTAATTTTCTCAAAAACATTCTATAAGAAAATGAATTCTGGGAGGTTTTCTTTTTTCTTTTTGTTTGGTTTTTCGAGTCAGGGTTTCTCTGTAAGTGTTTTGGAGCCTGTCCTGGAACTCACTCGGTAGACCAGGCTGGCCTCGAACTCACAGAGATCCGCCTGCCTCTGCCTCCCAAGTGCTGGGGTTAAAAGCATGCGACACCAACGCCTGGCTCTGAGAGGTTTTCTTGAATAATAAAATCCTGTTGTTTACATTTAAGTTTTCTAAAGTTATTATATTACTCAATAATATTCTTTAATTGGTAGTTAAGGATTTTTCAATAATATGAATCATTTATTATTGACTTCCCATGGTAGAGTTGAGATTTAGCTTTCTCACCCATTTTTGCTTCTAACCCTCAACTATGCATGTATTTTCCCAGCACGATCTTATCACAGTTTTGGATACATTGATATTCAATGGTCAGGTAATTGAACTCTCACTCTTGATAGCTAGATTCCCTGGGTTCAAATTCTATTTTTCCTTAGGGTTATGACATACTTTAATTATCTTTTAGCTTTCACTTTCTGATAAGAAAGATTCCATCTGATTCCTGGTAATTTTTCTGTTCTCTATCTCTGAATCTCCTCATGAATTATTTACATTGATGTATTTTAAGTGTGATTTCATCT